GATTCTACCAGTACCTTAGCAGTATAAGATATCCCTGTACGAAAGCCCTGGAGGGTAGAAAACAATGAAGTTTTAAACGGATGTTTGCGTTCGTTATATACGTGGTATCAGTATATATGGTCCGGATATTACAATATAATCCATTACCCACCAAAAATATATAGCCTTACGGCAGCAGATGAAAATAGCTTAGTGGTTATTTAACTGTTTAAGATTTTGAAGTGAAGTGAACATGCATTTGTTTTTCATCTGAATACGAACCTTACAGTAACAGGCTAAATATGGTGGTGTAGTGCACCCGCCTCTCGAGAATCTTGGTCGATTCAGTCGTGGACCTGGCGTTCGTGTGAGTACAGTTTGTTAAGTCTTTTCCTTGATTCGGAAGTTTTTCTCCGTTTTTTCATTTCCGTCAAAAACTTAACACACTTATTCCAGTTCGATCTGTGAGTTAGCCGTGCCATGTCTTACATCAGCCCAAATGTTCAATAAAACTGATGTTTTTTGTCAATGATACTAACAAAGTTTTTGTTTCTAAGTGATACGCACGTTTCTAAGCTGGCGTATAGTCAAATAGTCGCTAATACTATGGAAAGGTATCAAGACCCATATCGGATTTCAGGTTTTTTTTTAATTGTCTGTATGCGCCCCTTTCCCAGTAAAATGCTTGTAAAACTAGGTAGGGAATGGCATCAATATTCGTAATCAGTTTACAGAACAAGTTCAATGAGGAGTTATTGATGCTATATGGTAAGGTTGTCGCTACCAGAGCAAAGCAAGACGTCCAAAGAACAATCTCTAGTGATCTCAGGCATTTATCTCAAATATGTATCGATTGAGTATCTCTCTTGTCGAAGAGCAAGAGGCGATGGAAATCCTGTAATTATACTCCTTTATCTTTCAAAGTCAATATGATATTAACTATTTTTTTATCAGCTAAGGTGAATTACTAAGAGGCGGTTTCGATGACTGGGAGTGTCGTCACATTCACTGTGGTTTTACTTTGCATGTCGTAGCCATGTTCCGTTTCATGTTTCCGAGGCCTCTTTCAAACTTATCTTGGGTGCTCTAGCTAGGCGACGGAAAAATACACGAGAAAAATCACATTTTTTYCCCAATTGAACTCAGTTTTTTGCCATTTCTTTTGTATTTTCTTATTAATCCTCTCCGCCAAGATAATGTTTAAATAGACGGTCTATTCAAATAAGATCTAGAATAATAATTTTGTATCTGAAGCGGCATGAGGATCGATTTAGGAAGATGAGCTGTTTAATTACCTTCAATTCTAGTAGCTTCTATTGTCGGTTTTTCTTTATTCCTCTCTTGTTTTTATTCTTGGCTGTAGCAGCTGAAAAGAATAAGCCATTATTCCAGTTATGCTACACAATTAAACCTTAGCATTTTGAAATAATTAAAACAATTATTGTATTTTGGGGCTGTAGTCACCACTTAATGCATTTGAATAGTTGTCCCTTCTTAAAGAAACGAGTCCAGTTAAAAAACAAAAGGACAACACTTTCTTAAAACCCCAAGCTCCAAACCACCTTATCTACTCCCAAGTCCCAGTGATTACCTTTATCAACAACCCCTTGGTTTTGAATTGTTCATTTCTTGACTTAAATTATATATTTTGACTCGTAATCAGATCTCAAACAAATCGAAGAAAAAAACACATATACTACAGCTGAAAAGTAATTCCAGTGGTTTTATTACAAACTTCTTATGCAAGATGTTTTTAAATGTTTTTGCACTAAACTGCACTGGACTAAAAAAATGTTTATGTTAACTGGCGTCGAAAGAAGGTACTATTGTTTTAAARGAAACTACTTATATTTTCAGAACGAAACAAGAGACTCCTCAAGCTTAAAAGGTCTTAATAAAGTCCGCCGAACGAGAGCCAATCAGTAGCCGACTTGTACCTTTGAAGTCATTCGGCACTATCCACCGCCTTTTGAAGCAGATTGGTTTTGGATCTATCTTGACAGTTCTCAAAAGCGTTTACTCCCCTCCAAAGAGTTTGTCAAGAGGGTAATTTGGAAATTATCTTAAAATAAATCGATTGGTTGATTGCGTTTCCATATTCGACTCCTAAATCGTCTCGCAATCACTTGTAGCGGCCGGGTAGACGTCTTGGCTATAAAGAGAAGGACAGCAATTTGAAATCAGAAAAAGGGGTCGTAAACAGGRCATATTTGTAGTTAAGAGGAGAAAAAACATACTAAAACAAACGTTTGTTTTAAAAGCGATGAAACTGTTAGGGGAAGAAAAAGGAGAGAAAACATTGATAAAATGCTAAGAAAAGCGTACAACAGGTGCAATATGCATTAGACATTCGTCGAGCTCTTAAGGAGTCATCTTTATTCACCGACCCAGAACTAAAAAAACGCAAAAAATCTAGTCGAACATGGCTCTGAATAACTCCTCTCTCAACAATGGGACTTTCTATTCTCCAGCTGGCTACAACTACATCGAAAAGGTATCCATAGTATTTATGATGTGCCTGTTTACAGTGCTGGCCATCCCTGGGAATGCTATTGTGATTTTCATCGTCTCTCGCGTGCAGAGCATGAAAACATCAACCAATTTCCTGCTTCTGAACTTATGCATCGCGGATCTGTTGATCGCAGTTATTTATTTGCCATTCATCACGGTCGCTCTTTACATTACTAATGGATGGATTTTTGGGACATTTATGTGTAAACTGGTATCGTTTTCTCAGTCAGTTGCTACCAAGGCGTCAATTCTTATCCTTACCGCGCTCTCTCTAGAGAGATATCTGTCAATATGCCGACCAAACCGTATAGTGATCACAGCAGTGCGAGTCCGAATCCTCTGCGCAAGCCTTTGGATCGTTGCTATGGGAACAGCATTGCCTCTCTTTATTTACAAGACAACGAGACCGTATTTTGGGAATGAGTATTGCACGGAGTCTTGGTCATTTGAAGCCGCGGCAGCTTACACCTATGTGGTCTTTGCGCTGTTCTACGTAATGCCACTGCTGGTTATGGTAGCATTGTACCTTAAGATTGGACAGAAACTCCTGCAAAGTACTCGAAAAACCAGTAGCATGAGACACCCAAATAGCACAGGCAAAGCAACGCTGTCCTCAAAAACTAGACTCACTAGGATATGCGTGCTTATAATACTCAGTTTTGCGCTGTCTTGGGCTCCTGCGCATATTATTACTCTCCATTATTATTCAAGTGTGGATAGTCCACTGGGCAATGAAGATATTATTTATCCAATTGTAAGCTGTATATCGTACTCGAATTGTGCTCTCAACCCTCTACTGTACTGCTTCATGAGTCAAAACTTTAGAAATGCCATTGTTACTGAGTGGAAGCGTCTCACTACAAGGCGCAGGCAAAACATCTATGGTGGACTGCCCGGCATGTCGCTCAGGGGACGTGACTCTATCTTGCGTACTTTGTCGATGCGCATTCAAGGATCGCTTCAGTCATCGAAAGAACAAGAAGAAACTGAAACTGAAATCAAAAGCAAACACGAAAGTATAGATCTAGAGACTTCTTTGACCGTGTTCGAGTCGGCGTTGTAGTAACAAAGTATTACTGAATGTGTACAAAAGTGATAAAACTCTACTCTTCCTTCGTGTACCAAGAAATTCCAAACTTTCGTTTTTGAATATACAACTCGGAGCAATCAGTCGTTATTGTGGGTCAAACATTATTATTATTGTTAAGCTCCAATAAAGATCATCTCCAGCAAGAAAACATGTTCAAAGAAAAAACTATACTTAAATCATGATTCATCAAAAATGCTGTGTCCGGTCAAAGCATGCAACCTTGGAAAAAAAGCTTAATATCTTAGGTTTCAAAAATGTGTCGTAAAAGTCATGAAAAAGAATCAGTCCCAGCCTACGTTGTTGATGTTGTTGATGACCTATATCCCACGAGGGGTGTAGAGGCTTAGGAGGAGCCGCCTACGTTGCCTTTAGGCGTATTACAGATGAGTTTTGCCGCGCATTGATTGCCAAAGACAGGAAATATATCTTGTGTGGTTACAGCTATGACGTAAGTAGAAAAATCATTTTTCTTAGCTTGTTCGTTAGGACTCACAACCCACCACAACCCGAACTGAGAAACCCGAACCGAGAATAACAAAACGCCTTCATCGATGTGTATGACCCCCCGGTCCAGAACTAAAAGCGTTTAAGGCTGAAACCATCTTGGGGAACATAGTATGTTTCCAAAATGGCCGTCATGTGTTTTGCTTTTCTTTTATCGTTTTGTATTGTGAATTAAATTAGAAAAATAAACCCGGAACGCCTACAGAATACGTATTAAAGTCCAGCGGATAAGGATTACGTGCAGCTTGTTTCCAGCAATTTAAAAAAAATACTGATTTCATTTTTTGGCTCAACAGAAGTGCAATATAATTTTCGTATCGAAAAGGTGAGAAGGACGAAGACTGGAAAAGCAAGAAGAGAATATTAAATCATGACAAATCATGAAGACACGAACAAAACTCATCTGAAACGGAGTTTAATCGCTCATGTATAAGTAACCCGAAGATAAATATAATATAGCTACGATAGAGAATATTTTTTATGATTTGACTTGGGTCGTCGCCATGACGCGAAATCACATCAGCCTACTATTTTATGTCAAACAGTGTGAGACATGAGACTCTGTATTGACGTTATTTATATAAATAGTAAGCATCGTATCGAATCCGTTAGTAGGGTAGGCCAGTTCTAGGGGGTGTACTCCTCCTTCAATCTCACCCTACCCACTCTTACATGGTCTTTTTTTTTGTTCGTGGAGATAAATTGGTCCTTTGCCATTAAACTCTCTGTAGCACGATTCACTAAAGGTGCTGACACACGGTGCAACATTGCATGCACATTGCACGCAATAGGACTGTTGCAGCGTGTGTCTACCCCAAACTTGTTGCACGCAACGCTGCATGCAACAAATATGAAGTTGAATCGCGCTCTACTCTTGCAACATTGCGCGCAACAAATTTCATCATAACTGCTGACCAAATATCTTAACATAGCAGGCAATGTGTTGTTGCAATGTGTGTCACCCCAATTCAAATTTGTTACATACGATGTTGCACCGTGTGTCAGCACCTTAATGTGTTCACACTGCTCCGATCATTTTAAAAAAAAAAAACACTCGGAAAACCATTTTAATGCCTGAGCTGGTGGGGTGATTCTAATGCTAGAAGTTTTATCTCCTTTTCTGGGGGGATACCAAAAGCTATAGAGATTAGTACCTTAGCAGTACCTCCAATAAATATACGTAAACGCGTACGGGCTCTAAAAGGCCATTTAAATGCTCATCCTTTTCTATCGGTGGTATATTTTACTTTCTGGTGACACAACTACTGAAAAACAAAACTGAATATTTTGAGAAAGYCATTTCACTGCTAGGAAACACTCAATATAATGGTTTTCATTCTATAAGAAAGCCATTACACTACTGGGTCATTCAGAAATACCAAATTGTTTTCCTGTTTTGGAGCTCATATTTAAGTTTGGACGTAGTTTGCATTCCATATAAAAGCCATTAATAGTGCTAAATAATTCAGAAAATCAAAATTGGTTTCCTGTTTTTGAAACTCATATCTACGCGTTGTACTTTAGTTCGAATACCACAGAAAAGCCATTATGCTGCAAGGTCATTCAGAAACTCAAAATGGTTTTCCTGTTTTGGAAACCTCATACGTTAGTTGGTATTCAAAAGCCATATAAGATAAATCAAATCAATTTTATTTAAGTGTCTAGTCGTTCTAGCGCTTTCGTACTAATTGGGGACACTTTTCGCTCACACGCACTACCATTACATTAAATGTTCTATGCACACAACACTCAACTCAAAAGCCATAAATTCAGAAAATCAAAATTCAAAACTCAACTCACATGTTGATTTTTACGGAGGGAGGAAACCGGAGAACCCGGGGAAAACCCTCGTAGCATAGGAGAAAACAACACATCTAACAAACTCAATTCACATGTGGCGACCCGTAGGGCTCGAACCAACGACCCGACCCGTTGGACTCACAGCGGTGAAAGACGGTGCGTTAGCCGCGAACGCCACCCATGCTATATTAGTGCTAGGTCATTTAAAAAAATCGTTTCCCCTGTTTTGAAACCTATATTTACGTAGTGTATGTTAGTCTGCATTCTATATACAAGCCATTAGCTTAGCTAGACCATTTAGAGAATCCAAATGTTTTTCCTATTCTTGTAACCCATTTTACATTTGTACGTCCAACGGAAGCAAATCCACAAATCCAAAAATAATAACTGAAAAAATACTTTATGTCGTTATGAGCCTGCATAACATTATCCTTTTATTTGATTATATTAGAATAATATAACAGATATAATAAATTAATGAAAAATAAAAAACCTGAATCATTGATTTACTTGAGATATTGTCTTTTTGTAAATAAATGTGAAGTAGCTAACAGCGTTATTTAAAGTTTTTGGTAAGTTTAAAAAGCAGAGCAGGGAGGGAGCAGGGAGGAAGGGAAAGGAAAGGAGAGGGAAGGTGAGGGGAGGGGATTGATTTGCTTCCCAGTTTTTGCTCTATCCCAGACCTTTAAAATAGTGTTAGTGGCAGAAACACAAGAACATAGAGGTTAAATAGACTCTCGTGTTGAGATAGTAAGCTCTAATGGGCAGCTATAAATGAACGCACACCTCACACTCTCTTGMAAGTAAAAAAGTGCGATTACTAGACACAAGTTTCCTTGTGGACAAACAAAGAGGCCCCCCTAGCAAAATGTCATTATCCTATGTTTTGGTGTAAACGCGGCCTTAAAAATGATTCCTTTCTACCCGTGAAACAAATAAACAGTTTGTAACAGTTGCTGTCAATCATTTCAAAAACGTGCGGAACAAAAAAAATCAGGGACGGACATTTATTACTGTGGGATGGAGGCGTGATGTATTTTTCGACCTTTACTGAYCACTCCCCTGCTCTACACCCTGCGTCGATATAGTTAATTTTGCTCGATTAACATTCCTCTACCCCACCCCACTCCACCGCTATATTACTTCTAAGACCTTTCTTTTTGCTTCAAACCACTCCCCTTATGAACGTTCCGTCTCTTTAGAAGAAGTTTTCGGCTTCCTTCTTTGGAAAATAGCCTGAACTTAAACTACGATCTACGATTTGCATTCTAATCCTACAGCATAAATATATATGATAGATAAAATCTTTTAGCTTGTAATTATATTTAATCTAACTGTACATTATTATAATAATTACTTTAAATTTATTTTATACTGAAGGTTGTCAAATGTGTGCAACATTTTGGAAATTAAAAGGGGGGGGAGGGAACTGAGAAGAAATAAAGCTGTGCTTTTTTATTCCCAGATTGATTCTTGCCAGTTTTAGACTTGACATTACTCAGAAAACTGTCTTCTAAATTGCTTGTATTTGGTTTGTCCAACATTTCATATATGCGCACTTTTCCTTATCCAAGAAACTGGTGCCTGCCCGTGTAGTCGTATAAAACAGTAACTGAACTCCAAAATCCATCTGCGAATAATCAGACCAGCTGTTGAATCATGCATTTTACTTCTGCCAAGCCCTGCTTGGTATGGTGAGTTTTTCCAATGTCAACAATTGGCATCTTCCTTCCGTTTCATCTTTTTTTAAATTTGGCGCTATTGGATGCAACAGATCTTTTTCTTTTTAAATGTACTCAAAGGAATGGAGAAAACATCGAACTGATCATGTAATGCTGTCTTGGCGTATAGTAAGAAAAACGTTTTCTTCTTAAAGCCCATTGGGCTGTAGAAGGCTTTTTTAATCCTCTTTCTAGTTCTTCTTTCAAGTCAGAAGATCTATACATTCGTCCGTCTTTGATGTTTATACCTCTTCGTTTTCTTCTTTCGTTGCGCACGGGCTATTGCGCAATCTTTCTGCGCTATTTTGTCTTCTATATAATTTGTTTTGTTTTTAAATGACAACTTTCTCTCAGTCGTAATAGAAGAATTTTCAACAAGACTTAAACATATCAGACAGCAATCTCTCCATGGGAATGGAGTCCAGTGTGCCACGGAAAAAGATCTGTTCCACGGCCTTACTTGATAGGGACTTTAAGATGGGTAATGTAATAAGCAGTTTACCAAACCTAACTTGCTGATCCGAGTAATTAACTCGGTCGTATTCGCCCAGCATGCTTTGCGCTTGGTCTTGGAGATATTCTACGTCTCGAGAAGAACGAAGTCCCCGGATGTCTRTGGGAATCAAACAACATTACAGTTAGAAATAAAGAAATTTTAAGCCGTCTATATACGCGCTTTCGTGACGCACCAATAGAAACTTTTAGCTTGGGAGTAATGTTTCCGCATATTAGATCAGAGAATAAAATCATTTGTTTGAGTTGTATCCATACTCATGTGTCTTAATGCGCAAGCGTTAAATAAAGATACTCTATGGGGAAGTCTCAAACGGTCTGTAATGGAAAAAAAATTATGCTCAAGCTAAAATGGTCCAATAGAGGTTTTGCACCACCACGTGTCGGCAGCCATGTTAGATGGCAATACAATCGTTTTACATGAGAAAGAATTCAATTCCCAAAAGCAAAATGATTTTGTTGTTCTGCCATCTAACCACAGGAAGCCCAAGGAGTATTATGGGATGGGCACGTGATGGTGCAAAACCTCTATTGCATTTGACCTTACAAGATATAAACTCACTAACCTGGCTTAAAAAGTAGAATAGCTTTAAGACATGCAAACTCAGTCTGATCAATATTGGCTGCTCTGAACCTTGATACCATGTATTGCAGCGTTCTGATATCATTGATACTGGCTGCCATACCATCTGGAGAGTCGTGGCCGTTACCCGCAGCAGCTGCGATAAGAGAACCCATATCTAGTACCATGTTCCACTGAGCCAGGCTGTCACACAATGGAGAACAAACTGATTAATGTTTAGCGGATTACATTACAAGTATCTGTATGCCAGGGTGCGAGGGTAGGACGCATTAGGCACTCACGTTTTGCTTATATGCACTGAATTTCCGAGTCTTAGCGCTCCCTCTCTTAGTCTTATGTGTACTAGTCTGACATATTTTCCAAAACAGTCACTTTTTTAAGGCCGGTTTAGGCGGTACGATTTTCGCTTACAATTTTCGTATGCAACACGCTGGCGTCTGTCGTAGGCGAGTTGTAGGCTTGATTTACCGCACGCTACGACTCGAGTTGTATACGATAGTTGTAGGCGAAAATCGTACCGTCTAAACCGGCCTTTAGGGTGCTACATGATCGTTGCTGCGTAGATTCTTACAAGTTTTAGTACTGTATGTCACTACGAACACACGTCAAGATCTTTTTACTTATTCTAATTTTAATAGCTTTCTTTATGATATTCATCTAAGTGGGACCTAAGCTGCCATGGAAGGGGTTAGCACAACAGAGCTGGGTTCTAAATTTAGTGCACCCGAACGAAAATGTTACGAAAAAAACACTCACCCGCTAAACCAAAACATAATGCACAAACCAGCAATATAATTAGTCCTACCTCAAGATGAAAAGCTCAGACCAACTCTCTTCCAGTAAAATAGCCTGGTCACGAAATGGTAAGTCCAGGAAGGTAGGAATATTGCGCACCCACTTGACTGTCATGTGTAATATCCTGACGGCTGATTCATAAATCATTTCTGGGGAGGCCATGTACATGAAGGGATAGTTACCATACTGCGGGGTGGGTGGTGGGGACAGGTTTGTTGCTATGGTAACAGGTGTTAATTCCTTGCCGTCTGAAGACCTCACAAGAAATCTTTTTTCCATTGAAAAATTTTCCTGGCTTGTCAGATAGGGAGATTTCGGAGAAGAAGGCGAATCCTGTCGGAAGTTTTCCTTTTTAGAGGGGAGTTTTATCTGGCTTGGGTCGTTCTCGATGTCTTCGGTATCAGCGTGCTTGCGCTTCAAAGGCTTGTCACTGTTTTGTGATTTCTGTGTTCCTTGCTTGTAGTGACCAGTTCGTGGAGCTCTTTCGTGTTGTACGGCTGGAAAATATGGACAAATATGAATATATTGAGAATTATAAGACCAAACTAACAAATATGTGTTGATAATTGCAAAGTTTTATAGGTCTAGGTTTTACTGAGGTCTACTGAACTCACTAATTTGTGCAATATCTTACAAAGGTTTTTCACGGATAGATTGCATATCATATATCCTTGAAATAGTTAACAAACAAAATTGTACAAATTACGCAAAGCTTTGTAGGTGTACGGTATACTGAGATCTCAGTACTGAGCTTACTATATTTTGTGCAATGTTTTACAAAGATTTTTTCACGGATATCTGGTATGCACTCTACTGAGTCAATTCAATGGCTAAAGCCGGAGTAAAAGAGGTCGTAAAGAGTAAAAGTTTTTTCTCGATTCTTTTGTCAAGGACTATAGGCTTTCGACTGAGCCTCGATTGTCACCGTTTTATTAACCCTTTCCTATACTTGATGTCAGGACACATCACTAACTGAGAAATGTAGACTAATCCTTTTTTGCACGGTATTTTTTAAACATAAAACAAGGACAAAACATGCTACGGATATCTTAACCATGTCCCACCCACACACAACGCCGCACATGTAAAAAGTAAATTGAACGAATATTAAAATCAGATGAATTGGGTTAGAATAAATAGAGCATACGAATTGAATGTTTAATAGCGAGAGAAATCACAAAGTAAAAATTCAAATTACTAGAGTGCAAATAATATACCCGTGAAATAGTTAGGATGAAATAGGAGATACTTAGACGTTAATTAGACAAGACATAGGAATTCAGTGAGGCAAGACAAGGGCATGGGCGTTTACTAGAGTAACAACTCAATACGCAAATGAATAGATACGAAAATGCGAATATGTCAAATTATACAAAGGAAAAGCATGTACAACAAAATATTACAGTTTTTGTAAGTGTGTGTTTAAAAATATTTAAAAATGCCCGCCCTTGAGTAGCACACGTGCACTAGTTTACCCGTCACGGCTCGCCTATTTTAACTAATTAGACTTAGGCAACCAAAGGTTAGTAATTAGTTAGCTAGCTATCTATTTCACGGTATATTATTTGCACTCTAAATGGAAACCTGTTATACCTTATTTAAAACAAATATCGACTTTCACTCAAAACTAAATGTTTTTTTGCTATATGTATAGCCTAAATCGAATGTTTTTTTCTTCTCAGAAGAAATAGTCGTAATGTTTGTGACGTATTTATGTAATAAGGTAACTACTTCAAGTGTATTTTTTAACCGTTTGAACGTATTTTTTCTCAGAAAATAAAGAGAGAGAAAATCAGATGAACTTTTTTTTACTATTACAAAGCCAGTGATTGTTTTTTGTATAAAAAATTAGCAATGAAAAAGCGCATATTCAAGGAGGTGATTTTACTTGAAAAACAAAACGAATGCAAGTTCAGTGGTTAAGAGCGTATGTCTGTAACGGTCGAGAAACCCAAGACAGTTGCAAAAAATCAAAGTTGATTTTATTTCACCAAAAGAACCTTTATAGATAGGTATTTCAGAAAACACGATCAAAAAGTGCAAGCGCAATTTTATTTTTGTGAAATTTACGAAAGTTTGAAAAAT